GAATAGATTTAGCTTTCACCAAGTTTGAGGTTGTTGGCCATTCCAAAAGCCTGATTTTCTCAACCCCCACTTATTTATCCATATTGATCAGAACATCTTTAATATGAGGCCTCCTAAAAGAAAAGAGGAGTCACTCACACTGTCAAGCATGGTAGAGGAAACATCAAATCGTGGGAAGGTTTCCTACTAGATTTATGGGCTCATTCAGCTAATTGGATGAAATAAAGAAAGGACTACTTTTATATTCTACAACTTCTCATTAACTTTACATTCTAGTTTCCTTTGATAATGATCTTTAATGTTCATCTAATGGAATGAATACAACAGGTGAAGATTGATTCTTCAATAACTGATTACCAATCCTACTAATAATGTGTAATCATTTTTACAGGGTAGACCTGATTCTTATTAGGAAACCAACCTATTTTAGCAAACTCTAGCATTTCTGACAGGATAAGAGATCAAACACTAATGACAATAGCTCAATCTGAATTCATTCTTTTCCATAAGGCTGTAGCCCCATATTGGACACACATCATCCATGTGAGTTTAGGTCATGTAATTGCGTCTGGAGGGCTGAGGGCTGTCCGGATTCAGCACAGCTGTCCAGACTTCCTCTCCTAGCCAAGTTCTTACTGTTGACCTCAACAAAGATACAATTATCCAGTGTTTTACTAAAGCTTGCCTATAATTATAGAAAGTATGGGGTTGAGCTGCAATATAGCAAGGCACACATTATTGGACTCCATATTTATAATTTTAACTCTGATTGTATTTTGCATTTATATCCTCCCAGCTGATTGTCGTTTGATCACTCCATTGTAAAAAATCGTGGATGTTTACTTTAAAGCCCAATATTTCAGATCTACATGCACACAGTGAATGTATATAAACTTTTCTTTGCCATCTAAATATTATTTTTGTGCTTTTGAAGGTATTTTTTTTTTTATATTGACTTAATGGCATTTTATAAGGTATAGGATGGAAGTGCTCTTTTGTGAGTTTGTATTCTGTTTGATGATTTCTGGCTAAAACTGACCTGGCTGAGAACCATTAAGGCCAGTCCTGAGTGTTATTGTTGCCCCTTTGTGCAATGTAAGTGAAAAATTAAGGTATTTTAACAATAAACTAAGCAGTTGTTTCAAAATATTTCCGCTTAAAATATTCTATAAAGCTTTTTAGGGAAAATGCACACACCAGATAGTCCAAATAAGGCCATTTCTGCCATTGTTGAAATACCTTTTTTTCCTCATTTACATCTGTTTTTTTTGTTGTTGTAATGTAAAGACATTCCACACATTCCGCTGTCATTCCTCTAACTGTTCGGTGAAATCATTTCTCATTGTTTTGCACTTGCCAGCTCATACCTTCCCACACATTCAAAGACATTTAGTCTTTATCTCATCTAAGAACACAGACTTCTTTTTCACCCCGTTTATCTCTCCCTCCGGTCAAGAAATGCAACTAATAATGAAACCTACAGTTAAACTGTTGATACTTTGAAACAACTTTATGTTGCTTCGTTCATCTGTCTGCTTGTGAGACCTTTCTCTCTGTCTTATGACTGTGCACCACTGACTGCCTTGCTTTGTCACCATGGCAGCCACCTATCTCTTTCACAAGATTCCTTTCTTGTGCAGCAAAGTCCGTCCTAGATACTTTTGCTTTCTGTATTCAACACAAAATGTTTTGTCTGCTGATTTTCTGTGTGGACTAGTCTGAAGGGCCCTCATGATTGGGTCCTTGAGATCAAACACACACACATTGTCGGAGCCTGTTTTGAAGTCTTGCATAAGAGTCGGGTTGAATTGGACAGGCAGCTGTTTGGTATTCATGCCTTCGCCTCTCTATAACTGGTGAACAAGTTTTAAGCGTACCTGGCCTCATTGATGCACCTTGATCTGGAACTTTCACCTTTCACATCTGTCTCTCGTGCGCTTCCCAGCCATAGAAACCTTTTATCCCTGCAAAAACATCAAGAGGCCTTATATTGGTTTTGCCACATAACACATTATGCTTCTTTTGTTCCATTTCTCTAAAGTCTTGGTCGGTTTACTCCAACAGCAGCGATTTGCTTATTACTCTACAACAAATGTAGGATATGCAGGAACCAACATTTTGCTCAAACACATAACCTGACAGGATTAAAGAATAATTGTGCATTTAGCTTTTCTTGCTAATGTCTTACCGGCACAAAGAACCAGCCTAGTTACACCATAATTTTGATATTTCTATTGCACTTATCTTTGGCCCCCTGAAACGGTCAAACTATCCAGAGTTTTAAAAGAAAACAGTGTGGTTTGGTTTTCCTAAGTTCCAGGTCATGTTTTGGCTCCCCACACACGACCGTTTCGTTCCAGTTTGCCTATATAATTGCAATTTAATTAAGGTTTTTCTCCACTAACAACTACACATTCTCTCACTACATATTAAAGAAACAAAGTGTTTTTTAAAGAATATTTTCTACCCTGATCTGTTCTCAAAGTAGTGGTCTTAGAAAAACTTTTGTGACTGTAGTTTATCAGTACTTTATGAGGTCATGGCTGATTTTCTCTGTGAACATGTCTGTTCAAACATAGCCTTGTCTTGGGGTCCTTCAGATGTCTGTTTTCTTTCAAGCATGTTCAAGGCACGTTTATTTATATAGCACAATTCAGTACAAAGAAGATTCAAACTGCTTTACATGAATTAAGCTAAATAAAAGCAGAATAAAATAAAATAAAGGTAAAAACAATGGTGAAATCAGTTAGTTAAATAAATGAAACAGTTGGACCAAAAAGTAAACTAACAATACCGAAGTTAACAGTTTAATTTCAAAAGTCAAAAGCAGCTTTGAACAAAAGGGTTTTTAACTTTGCTATAAAAGAACTCAGACCTTCAGCACTTTTACAGTCTTTTAGATATATATTGAACTGAATGGATCTCACAATGGAGAAATTCACTTCCTGCATTTAACCCATCCCCTTGAGAGCCGTGGGCTGCCACTGTGCAGCGCGCGGGGGAGCAGTGTGGGGTGAAGGGTGGGGAACAAGCACAAGCGCACTACTCTAACCACTAGACCTACACTCTCCACTGGGAGTTTGTTCCAGACCAGTGGAGCATAGGAACTAAATGCTGCTTCTCCATGTTTTGTTCTAGTTCTGGGTGAACAGAGTAGGCAGGAACTAGAGGATCTGAGTGGTCTGGGAGGTTAGATTAAATTAGATAAGCTTTATTGATCTCAGCGTAGAAATTCACTTGTCACATATTGGCATAGAAGTTACAGAAGGTGCAAACATGGAGGAAAAAGGTGCATTAAGAATAAGCAATATATATACCGTATATCCAGGTATATACAGTATATCAAGATAAATAGGATTAAGGTGCAAGTGTACCTGTATCGCACACAATGAAAAACAAAATAAAAATAAGAAATAAAAATATGTACAATCCGGATGGCTTATATACAGGTGGAGAAATATTGCACATTCAGCATATTGCACAGGATATTGCACAGTCAATAAATAAAAAACTATAATATAGCTGCACAGTGGTTACACTGATGACAAATATGTTATATATTGAGGTGCTGATCCATTCAGTGATTTATAGACTAAGAGAAGGATTTTATAGTCTATTATCTGAGCTGCAATGAGCCAGTGGAAGGACGGGGCTGATGCGCTCTACTTTCTTAGTTCTAGTGAGAACACGGGCAGCAGCATTTTAGGCCAGCTGATGGACTTTTAAGGCAAAGCACCTAAAATGTGGGATCCTGTTCTGCACTTGTACCAATTAGGTGTCAATACTGCCATCTAAAGCATTATTCATCTATTGCATCCATCAATTCTGTTTCATAATGTTAAGAAGGTCATCTTTATGAAAGTCTAAACATAGATTTGCATAAGAAAGGTGTATAAAAGGCTCAAGACTATGACCATTAATGACATGAGTCACACAGACCTCTTAATGATAGCTGGGGATATTAGGGCCTGATTGGGACCACTGGGTCCACCCATCTATAAAATTGCAGCTTCTGTGGAGTTTTTGCATTGTTGGTTATGTTTATATAGGGGTGCATTCAGAAGTGAAAGCTGGTTCTCAACAGTTGAGTTAGTATTGCTGGTACCACTGAAGAGCTTAGTGTTGTTTCTGATAGAAAGGAATCTGAATAAAATACATGTTAGCTTCCTATGAATGAGTGAATAGTCGTAAGATACCGAGTATGCCCATGCTGACCCCAGAACCACCTGATCCACCTATAAGGGCATGTGTGAATCCAAACTGTAACACAAATTGTTGGGGGATGTGCAAGATTTTTTTTAACCCTTAAATTCCCTTTGAGATTAAAAATCTCCTTTTCAAGAGAGACCTCAGGCAGAGGCAGACCTGGTGATCCTATGTTATAAGTTCCTATAGGGAAAATAAGTGAAGCTGACAGAGTAAATATGATATTTTAGTCATTTTCTGTGCTGTCTATGTTGGCGTTGTTCCTTTCATAAAAGCCTCTTACACACACTGCCATTGCATTGGTTTAGAAATCAGTTCAGAAAAATATCTGTGATCTGCTAAGAAAACAAAGGTGATCCATGGAGGTCCCACTTCTCAACTCAGGACATGAAGGATTGACTGCTAACATCTTGGTGTCATACTGACTCTACCATCCTAAGAGGTCTAGTGGAGTTAACACCCCAACAGATCATGGTTGCACAAAAGAACATGGTCACAGACTAGCAGTCATAATATAACAGATTAAATTTATCTCTGTATTTGATCATTTGAGATTTCCTCTCCTGTTTAGCTCAACTCAATATTTAAATGTATCCCCACCAAGTCCCAGCAGCAGCTGGCTGGTCCCCAGCTCTACCTGAGTCTCATTCACCTGTGTAGGAAAACATGGCGTCTCTCCCATCTTGTCACGTGTTCCGCCCTGGCGGTGTCTCAGCGCTTTGTTTCTCCTCTCACCCGGCCCTCACCTCCCACGTTTCACTTCACCGTGACGTGTGATAGACTTTCCATGTGAGACTCATGCTTCTGTCCTTCTCTCCCCCTCCTCACCCACCTCCCACCTTCTCATCCCCTCTACCTCCTTCCCTTCACTGGCCCTTCCTCCTCCACCCCACACAGAGAATGACCAGCCATCCCTTGTTTGGTTTGACAGAGGGAAGTTTTATTTAACCTTTGAAGGTAAGTTTGCTCGATACCAGGGAAGCGTGCACCGACATAAAAACACTCTTCTGAGACTCATTTGTGCAAGCTTGGCCCTTCCTCTGCCCTGCCCTTTTCCTAAACCTCCACCCTTTAGAAATCCCTCCATCTTCTAACCCTCATCATTTAAATATGTGGCTGAGCATTACTCCTGTGTGCTGAACTATCTCTTTCGATATTATCTCTTTTTTTTCTCTATTAATATTGTTCGGTCTCATTTCATCTTCGCTGACCTGTTATTCCTTGAAGATTCATCTTTCTTTGTGCACTTTATTAATCTATCATGACCTGTTCCCTCGGTGGTCTTCTAGATGTTATTTTTTAGGATCTTTTCGAACTACTTCAGCTAAAAACATCTGGAATAAGCATGCAAATATCTCTCTTTCTCTCAGTCTGCCTTGCTCTCATCTTTTGCACCTAGCAATGCTTATTCAGTGGGGGGGAAACTTCACTCTATTATGAGCTACGCAAATGAATAAAAATGTACTTGTGAAGGTGATATTTCTCAGTCAAAAAGCAGAGAGAAATGTGTCGTATCTGTGTGTTCTTTGCCGTTCTTCCTTACTAACACTTGTATTTCTCTTCATTATATATTTGTGTGATCTTTCATGTCATGTCATTTCACCGCCTGTACTCGTTTTGTCTTCATTTCACTCTTGCACTTTGGGATAGGAAGAGTGTAAATTCCTGGCCTGGAAATGTTTAGTTGCATATCTGTCTGAAAAAAAAAAAAGAAAAATCACCATTTAATGTTCAGTATATGTTTAAATTGATTAGATTGTACTGTATGTTCATTATGCACCATATAAGATTAACTCTGTGTGTTGCTTTGTCCTGATTTTAGGCTGCTCCCGAGGACCGAGTCCTCTCACCATGGGAGCCCAGGACACACTTCCTGTTGCTGCTGCTTTCACAGAAACAGTCAATGCCTTGTTTAAAGGAGCTGACCCAAGCAAGTATGTATTCATGCATATGCAATTTTTAAAAATTTTTTGTGTATTTTTATTTGAAAGAAACTAATGTAAAGGATATCAAGATGTTTTGAATAATATGTCACCTTTTGGCCCCCTGTGTAGCATCAATGGTTAAGATAGTTGGTGCATTTTAGACTGCCAGTCAAGGTTTCGATTTTGGTGGTTTTCACCATCTCGAAGTGTAAAGAAGATCTTCTATGGGAACCTCAGGGATTCATTCAAGCTTTTCTTAGAGAAAGTACTTGTACAGAACAGAGCAACTTTAGTTGTTTGGAGTCACGCCTCATTAGAAATATTTATCACTATTTCCCTTTTTGAATTTCAGAATGCAGCTTTCTTAGTTATTAGGAAAAAAAAAAGGTATCACTGTTGCATATATTGCCAACCCCTTAATAAAAAGGATATTGATACAATAAGTAACTTTTTTCCACTGTATCACTCTTTTGATATGTTAAGAATGTTATATTTTTAATAGGCAACAAAGTTGGTTTGCATTTTTTTAAATATATTTCCTTACGTTATTCAGGTTTTTGTTTGCATTGCTTCCGTGTGACTTAAATTATTAATTTTTATCTTATTTTAAACTGACTGAAAACAGATTTACACACATTTTAAAATGGAGACAAAAGCACAGCTACTTCAGTTAAATTATGAAAGGACAAAGGAAAGGAGACACAGTTAAGATTGTTACAAAGTGGTGGGGTTTGGTTTATGTCTGACTTGCGACTTTTTCATTCTTCCAGGTGTGTTGTGAAGATCATAGGTGAGATGGTTTTATCGTTTCCGGCGGGAATTACACGGCATTTTGCCAATAACCCATCCCCTGCCGTGCTAACCTTCAGCATAACCAACTACAGCCGACTGGAGCATGTCCTGCCTAACCCCCAGCTGCTCTGCTGGTAATACCATCACTGTGAACTCACCACTCTTTTAGTGAGAAACAAAAAAAACACACCAAAAGAAAAAAAAAAGGTCTAAGTCTCACAATTAAACAGATTATTGACTGCATCCTCCTCCTGTGACCTCTTCAAACCAAAACATTGCACACTAACATTATAGTATATGTATTATATGTCGGTTAAGATCTCATTCTGGGTTTTAGAAATCACGAAATGTTAAAGTTGCTGTTGTTCTATTTCTGTTTGGGTTGATGTTATATAAGCTTTTATTAATTGGTACCAAGATATATCAAAGTTTTAAAAAGATGCAATTTTAAAACCACTCCTTAAAAATGATGTTTCTATAGCTTAAAGTTATTTCCAGTAAATGTCAGAGTAAATGTGAAAGTGACTGAAGTTTTCTCCCGATGATGCACTGCTACATTTCCATCTGTTGTGCACTGCTAGTCAGCTGGCTCAAGGCTGGCTACTGACTTGTCTTTTACCTACAAGAAAACTGAAGAAATTGTTGCTTTTCTGTTTGAAAAAATCTATATTTCAAAAAATGTTGTTATAAAAAATTATCATACTTCCTTATGCCTGTTAATCGCAATTCACAAAGAAAAATCTTGCATTTAGTTTTCACTTAACGTGTCCTGAACACAGCACTCATGAAGTGCAGCAGGAACATGTAAACACGTGTTTGTATACATTTTGTTTAGTAGATTTAGTAGACTTAAAACTGCTAAAATGCCACATAAAATCATTTTAGATTAAAAAGCCTGCAACTGAAAAAAAACTGATGATTTTAGGTCTGACCCAGGAAATGAGCAAACAGTAGTGATATTTACTCATCATCAAATCGTGCTTTTCAGACAAGCCTTATGTTATGTAATGTAGTAATAATACATGACTAAATCTGAAGTATGAACACCACCAGGGAGAGGAGCTTAGGCATCATACATTTCAAAAAATAATGAATAACAAATTTATTGTTTATGTTATTCAATCTACTCAGTGTGTCAGACTGTGTAAATGATTAGTTGTTACTGTCATGGTAACAATAAAACAGGCTTAAATTCCAGACAAATGAACTCAGTTTTTTTATTTTTCTGAAAACTTTTCAGCGTTTATACTCCTTGATAAGATCTTCAATGATACTGTTTGCCTCTGATTTAAGCCTGTTTTGTGGCTACCAAGCATTGTTTCTCTATCAATAATCTTGTATGCCTGTCTGATACGTAGTTTGGACATCAGATTTTCATTTTTATCAAAAACAGGAAGCAGTTGAGGCTTTAAATAAAGATAAATTTAATATGTTGCCAAAAACATGCTTGGGAGGGTTGGCCTAGTGGTTAGAGCAGTGCGCTTGTAGTCTGAGAAGGTTGCAAGTAACAGGTTCAATCCCCACAGCATCAACTTTGGGTCCCTGAGCAAGACCCTTAACCCACTGTTCCCCAAGGGGATGGGTTAAATGCAGAGGTCAATTTCTCCAATGTGAGATTAATCACGTTTTTATTATTTATACTGTATTCCATGATAAAGCAGCTGTCTTGATGCAGTGAAAGTACATTTCTGTGTTACTTATGCTGCCTTCATGTATGGTAAAGATCACCATCACAGATTATCCTGAGTTGTTACCTAAGCACTACAGGAAGAGGAACTGACATTTTAAAAACAACACAGGTTTTTATACATACATGTATGTATGTAGGTATGTAGGTAGGTAAAAACACGACATTAGAGCATGTTTAACAGTGCAGAACTCACCATTCAGAATCATTTTGCTGCTGTTTACCTTGTGAAAGGTCAAAGTTTACCTCATCTCAGGTATCATAACCTTCTTTTAGAAAATACAGCATAAGTGCAATTTTGATCTTGATTTTTGGTATTTACCTTAATTACAATAATACGTAAAGGCAGCTTTATTCCTTACTGCCTTCAAACCGCAACCGTTTTTTTTGTTGTTGTTTTTTTTTGAGAGAGATCTGATTTAACTAAGTAGTCATGTGTGCCATTTCTGTTTTAATTTTTGTTGGTTTTTTTTTTTTTATTCAACCAACCAGTGACACCACCACACAAGCCAAGGCTGATGCAAAGGACTTCTGGGTTAATATGCCAAACCTAATATCTCATCTAAAGAAGGTGGCCGAGCAGAAGCCGCAGGCGACATACTACAATGTGGACATGCTCAAGTATCAGGTGAGCTCGGCCCTCTGGATGTTTCCACAGTGAGAGGCCAAAACATTTTCACAGAAAAGTGATTTTTTTTTTTGGGTACTTGACACGTTTCTGTGTTCAGGTATCAACAAAGGGCCTCCAGTCGGCTCCTCTGAACCTGGCTGTGAGCTGGAGATGTGAGCCCACCAGCACTGACCTGAGGATAGATTACAAATACAACGGGGAGGCCATGTCCACGCCGATTGCTCTAAACAACGTCCAGTTCCTCGTTCCAATCGATGGGGGCGTTTCTAAATTACAGGCTATCCTACCTCCTGCTGTATGGTATGCTCCTTAAACCTCCTCATTAAAACAGACAATAAAACACAGATCAGGCTTTCTGTACATGATTTACGGCTTTGTTTAGATTTGTTTGTTGAAAAACAATTTTATTTGCTTTAGGTTTTAAATCTAAACATTAATTTTAGAATGTAGGCTTATTACAGTACAGATAGCTGATTTGATCTGCTTGTATGTCTCCTCCTCTATGCATACAGGAATGCAGAGCAGCAGAGAATCTTATGGAAGATCCCTGATATTTCCAAGAAATCAGAAAACGGAGGTATGATTAACATCTGTGATAGCAAAGCAGTCAAATCTGTTTGTTGGTTCAAAGGCAGAATTTATTATATTTTAACTTGCACCAAAAATAAGTAAATCAAGTTCTTTCTGTGTTAATACTCCTTGTTCCAACATCTATAAACCAATTATCAGATGCCTTATGTTTTCACGGTAAATGATACAGAAAATAAAACCACAAACGGATGCTGACAAGGCAGTAAACATCCCAAGTTAATTTTCTTTTAATCTCAATGTTTATTTATTTTTATTTTTTTTGCATTAACGCAATGTCTCACTCTGAAAAATCTTTATGCACTTAAAATCAAGTGCAGTTTTTAAATTGGATGGTATGATATTTTAACAAATATTTGCATTTATTAAAATGACACTCAGAGCAGTTATTGCTGGCTGTTCTGCTCGTTCCTTCTACAATCCCTTTTTGCTAACAGAAAAGCACTTGGTCTACTCCGATGACCATTAACTTGGTTGGAACATACAGAAGGAGGAAGCTTTGACCAAATCCTCATGATCATCTACAATCCTGGCTCTTTTAATGATTTCTCTCTTCCAAACTCCCAATAAGTTGATAAGGTGTCAAATTGATCATTTCTTTATTGTTCTGAATAATTTTTCTGTTGAAAGACCCCTTTTAGCGCTTTTACCAGAGTTTTTTTTATATTTTGTATTGTTTTTTTATGGAACCATGCACCCAAACAAGTTCCCCCTGCTTCATATTGGGCCTAAAGGGGCTTTTTGCATATTTATTGCACAGCTATCCTTCAATATTAATTTAAAGCTCAATCTCAATCAATACAAGTCCCTGTAAAACTTGACTAACTCCACATCTTTATGTTCAGAAGGTATTTTGGTGGTGTTATTTTTTTCTGGCTGTCAGTTCAATGTAACTGTTTGGGGAATAGAAAGGAGCTAATGATTGTAATACAGACAATCCTTCTTTGGCAGAAAGCCTTTTTACAATATTTGGTCATAAATTATATTTTAGTGTCTAGTAGCTAAAATAAAGTCCTATTTGTTTTACAAATGAAACAGTGGATTAACAACAATAAAAGCCTTTAGAGCTCAGAGAAGCCAAAATGGCATAAACTGCTGGAGATAAAGACTGTTATGGGTACCAACATACAAACTTGTATCTATTATTTTTCTTTTTTGACCATTTATATCCATATATTTGTTAACCAATTCTTAATTTAAACTGTATTGATTACAATTATATATATATATATATATATAATGTTAACTATGTGGGTGCATTTATATATTCTTTGTCCAAAAACCAGACTTAGAATCTGTTATTTGGATTGGTTTATTTTATTTTCATTGTAATTATGAGGATAGCATTAAGTATAATGTTTTGAAAATAGACGGATCTGAGCAGAAATATTGCTCGATGAACCCGAACCATGTTAATCTCAAGGGGTTACAATGCTGTTGCTAAAGCCAGAGGGCTAAAACTTAGGGCATTGATTTGTGCTCATGGGAAACAGCTGTGTTTGAAGCTGTTGTTGCCCTCTGCTGTCTGCATCTGGATCTACAGTTAAAAACTGAAACCCTACAACTGCAAATAAAGATCACTGTAGTGGTATCTGTGCTGCAATATGCTAACACATCCTCTTATTTTTCGAGTGTGAATAAGTTACAGCTCATTTTGTAACCAGTTTTGGATATTTCTCTTTGGAAAAACTCTATTTTTATCTGAATATGGACAAACCCAAAACTTTAGCCAAGAAGGTGAGAACCAAAAAAAAACTAATCAGAAGACCTAATTGATGCACAGTTGGGGACTTTTTGAAAGACTTACACAAACATAACCTTCAAGCAGATGATAACCAAGGTCAAGTTGAACAATTATCCATATTGTAGCTGTCCCACAACTGAACCTAGTATTTACAAAATGTGTTAGTAAAACTTTTTTTACTCAAGACTCCTAAATGTTGTAAACATCCAGTGCCTGAAACATAATGATGCCCAGCATCAGTATTTTATCATTAAAGCTGCAGTAGGTGGTTCTAAAGACATAGTGGACTTAGCCTGAAAATTTGAACAAGGACACCATACAGGCAATGTTCCCTCTAAGCTGCATGCTTGTGCACTGCTTGCACATTCTACGCGCACAAGAAAATCAGTGCAACGCATAGAATAAAATCTGACATAAACTGTAAATCAGTTAGACTAATACATTGTTTTCTGTATCATTTTGAATCTGTGTATCATTTACAACTTAGAACCAACAAATTAAAATACGAGAAACAACTAAGTCTGCCCTGTCGTCCCCCAAAGTATGTTATATAATATGGAGAAACAGAGAACCTCTTTTGCTTGCCATACCACATTAAATATACTAATGAAAAAAAGTATGAACATGGATTACATATCTTTATTTTATTTTGTTTGAGCTCTTATAGCATCTCAGCCTGCTGGATGCTTGATGTGCAAGCTGGCTTATTGAATTAACCTAATCTAGCTGTTCTGGCTCATGATCTAGCTACTCTTTCAATGCCAATTTCATATATCAATCAGTTTTATAATAAAAAAAATATATTAGTTGTATTTGGATGTATATGTTTAATAAAATGTCAGTTTTTTTTTTTTTTTAAGTTCAGCAAATAGTCTTATTCAGTGCATTAAAAACCGATACAGATTAAAAAAATAATCCAAGTGGAAGAAGAATATCTGGCAGCCCAAATTATTTACCGGTCTATGCTTCCTGAATAATGAAACCATGACCGCTTTCTAACAGCCCTGCTCTCCAAATGCACATAGTTTAAGAAGCACCTGTTTACTGCGCAGTGCAATGCTCTGTGAACATTGCTTACAGATCCCTGCCCCTGTTGCTCTCTTCTTTTTGTATGATGGTACACTCTGCTCATGTAAGCGGTGTAACTTCCACGAGCCTGATTGACACATCAAAAATATTCCTTCTGGTTCTAATTGCTTGTTTCTTATTATTGAAAGAGGCCAGGGCCACTGGGAGGAGGCAGAGGAGTTTGATTTTTTTAATAGATTATCTGTCTCATATTCGAACGTCAGGATACTTTCAGGTAAGGCCGGAGGCTTTGAGGACCAAAATGCAGAGATGAGTAGGTAGAGATGAGTGTTGCTGATTTAATTAAGGACTAACAAAAATCCAGAGAAATGCAAAAATACTGAAAACCAAAAACAAAATCCAATAAAAGTCAGGGAAAATGCACATGGGGAGCAAGGAGATAAGGAAGCAACAAAACAACAAGAAACCAGCAAAGAGGAACTGCAGAGGTGGTGCATATATGGGGAACAGAACAAAGGATGGGCTGATGAGCTGATATCCAGCAGGTGTGATAAAGGACTAACTAGGAGGGAACAAAGGGGAAGAAACGGGCACAAGGGGGCAACAGAGAATAACTAAAGAAATACCAAACTGACAGAAAACAACTACAAAGATGCAGAATATCATAGAAACTAAAAATAAACATAAACAGAGGGCAGAATCCTGACAGATGCAGTGGTGGTTTAATAAATATGTTAAAAATACATTTTGCAAAAGTTACCTACTGCACTTTTAACCTGTGACTTATACAACCATAGCCATGTTTACTTTACACAAAACGTCATGATCGGGTTAAAATGGGGTTTGTAATTAAAAAACAAAAATATATGGACATACTGTAAATAATCAGAGTAAAATTACTGATCAGACTGAAAATGTGTCGTGTTAACATGTAAATCAAAATATTCTGAAGGCATCCAGCCACTCAAAGTGGAAATACCTCACACACTGGAAAAAATTTAAATCCAGATAAGTGATTTTTTTCTTAAAATAGGTGCATTTGTTCTTGGATTGAGGAGATAAAAGATAGATTTTGCCAATGAAACAAGACAATTTACACTTAAAATAAGAAAACATAATTGCATTCTCTTACTCCAAGTGCATATTATCTAATTATCTTATTTTAGGAGTAAAAATACTCACTCCATTGGCAAACTGTCTCATTTACCAACTCAAATTAAGGATAAATACCTTTAATTTAAGACATTTTTACTTATTTCAAGATCGTTTTTCCAGTGCATAAGTGTGGGCTATGCATTCAAACTTGTTAGTTTAGAATAAATTCACCCTGGCAAGCACTTTCATACATTGGATTATCAATTGGCAAAAACCTCCCCTCTCAGAGGGATTAGAATTAAAGTTAATTCCACTCAAATCTGATCAGAATATTCCGACTGGCATGTTTAGGTGATATTTACTGTGAAAAATTGTCTGTCTAACCAAGTCTAGTTTAACAATCTAATATATAGATAGCCAAAAGTCTTTTTGATCTTATTTTGAGATTGATATACTAAGCAAAAGCAGATTCTCTGGGATTACTAATTCTATTGAAAAAAAGGTAATAATCTTCCTGCGCAATAAAACAATTTCACTAACCAAATCTATTTGAAATTATGATATATATTTTAAAACAAGTATATCAATTTCAAAACAAGATAAAAACTTGTTTCGTTAGATCTATAATTATAAGACTTGGTTAGAAGGACACTTCCATTGCATTTTTAGATCAATTAGCCATTTAGTCTGATTACTTATGTCCATTAAAGCATGTGTTTTCAAATACATTCACCTTGGAAAAATATCTATTATTATATAGAAAGAGGTTATTTGAATTTTTTTTCCTGATTCTTTCTTTATTCATTTTCTTGGAACAGGTGTGGGGTCCTTATTAGCACGCTTCCAGCTAACAGAGGGTCCCAGTAAACCGGCTCCACTGGCAGTGCAGTTCACCAGTGAGGGCAGCAACCTGTCAGGATGTGACATTGAACTGGCTGGACCAGGATATCGCTTTTCTCTAGTTAAAAAGAGGTTTGCTGCAGGTCAGTTTGTTTGCATCAAAAGCAAACCAAAACATTTGAATGTATAAAAGCTTTACTTTCATAGGGAACTTTTACCAGTTTAATCTAACTATATTTGTTTTATTTCATAGGTATTTAGCTTATGAGACTTTTTCATTTTAATGATGTTTTTGGTGAACAGATATGGCTCAATATGTTATTGATATAACAGACACATATTTTAGTACATATATCTGTTTACATTTTAGCCAGTGGGGGCACTAGACCTGTAATTTCCAGCTTTAGCTCCCCTGAAAGTAACTAGCAGTAATGGCATAATGAGTCAGTCTCTGTCCTCGTTTTGGAGTCTGATAGCCGACCACTTTCACCAGCAGATTTAGATTTAGGGTTCCAAGGGAAGTCAAGGTCTCTTTCACCCCTGTAGATTAAATCCTATATCAGATAAATAAAAATATGTCTGATTGTGTAAGCCCCATATTTGTTTTGTTGTGGTGTTGGGAAAAATGATCTATCAATTCCCTTTAACATACTGTATATTTATGTAAATTCATATTTTCTGAGTGCTGAGTTTTAGATTCATTCAGACCTCAGAGCTGCAAGTGTACAAGGTGTCTAAGAGAGCCGGGGTTGTTTATCCCATTAGGGAGCGTTTGGGATCAAATAAATTGTTCTCATAATAAGCTAGACTGTTTCTCAGGGATTATTTCATAACATAACCGTCTTTGTTTGGGTAAAGATATATGGAGACCTTCACAGCCTTTCTGCAGGGTTAATTAGTGAGAGTCAAACTCTGTCTAGCTCAGAACAGGGCTGAGCACAATGCAATGAGGTCTGTTGTCTTGTTCTTTTTTTACTTTGCAAAGTAAAATAATATGCCAACCAAATGCAATGATCTCCATTTATTTAATTGATTCCTACCGTGTGGAATCAGCTCCAGTCTGAGCTCAAGATGTCAGACACTATTTCATTGGGCTTATTTCGAACGGTTCTTAAAGATAGACAACAGGCTTCCATGAAACCGTGTCACTGCTTTTAAATTGTTTTTATTTTATTTTTTAGATTTGTGCATATGTATTTATTGGTTTTATTTTTGTAACCAGGTTGCAGTGTATTGCAGATCTCTGCCCAGGTCCACCTTAAAAATGAGATCCAGATCTCAACGGGGTTTACCTGGTTAAATAAAGGAAATAAAAAAAATAAATAAATAAAAAACTGGACCTCATAGTTGAGTACCTACAGTATTTCCCACAACATTGGTTAGCACCAACCTTTAGCTTAACCCTTGTATTTAAGTTACTTAAACGAGTCTTTAGAAGAGCTGCCCACATGGAGCATCAGGAACTAAATTTTGGCTTGAAAAATCATTCATGCAACAGACTGGCGATCTGTCCATGGTGTACAATTTAAGAGTTTCAGACATTTACGTTTAGAAGTTATCTAAAGCTAGACAGAAATTAACCATGTTTATAAAATGTACCTGAAGCCAATAAAGAGATGAATTAATTTATCTTTATGTTTTAGGAAAATATCTGGCTGAAAAATGACCCCCACCAAGAGCGGCACTGTTGAACAGAACGTCTATCGTGGACCAAGGTTAGCAGCGTGACCGGAGGACAGACCTAAACCAGACACTCCTGTAACCCTTTTTGAACCCAATCGACAGGTTTGCAGCCTATCCAGCAGTATTGTATAACTTACGTATAGCATTGTGGAACTGTTTCACGTCATGTAACTATAGTATTTGTACACATCTCATACATAACATTTGTGTTGCTGCAGTTAGACAGCTGGGTTCTTTCCTTCTCTAAAGTCTGTGCCTCTGTCTCCATCCTCCTCTGGTCAGTGTCTGGTTGTGTTGTTAAAGTTTTCACTGCAGCTGCCTGACAGAAGACCTGGACAGAGTATTTTTCCTTTGTTCTGTGACAAACTTTTCCACAATCGTACATCTCAGTTTACAAAGAGTAAAACCAGTACCGTACGGAGCCCCTAAAGGGACATGGAGGGGAAAAAAAGAACTCTTGCGAGATCCCGCAATACTTTTGCGAGATCCCGCAATACTTTTGCGAGATCCTGCAATAGTTTTGCGAGATCCTGCAATAGTTTTGCGAGATCCT